TTTATTACTACTATCAAAATCAATATCAGTAATAATATGAAGTTTAGTGCAAAATATAAGGTTTAGTTTTTAAAGTCATTTCTGATGCTGGAGCGACTTGGCTTGTTTTGAATTCATTTATGGTTATTTGAGGTTTATTATTACCTTCCGACATATAGCATAACTTTTGGGAAGGCAAGGCTGTGTAAAAGTCAAGGTAAACTTCATATATGCTTATAGAATTGTGGGAAAATTAAACTCGCATTAGATGAAATAGGATGAGTACATTTCATGTATTGTTTGCATTTCCTGGACTGCTGAATGATCTATTCATGTTTCACTTTACTCTGTTAAAAATAGGTGAATTATGCTCAGGAGGGGATGGCGGCTACTTCGGACCTCATAATGCGACCAAGACACTATTATACCATTTTGTTGTGATATGTATCAAAGAATGTCTACTCCTATCGTAGTCACAAAAAATGAAAACAAAAGTGGTACCAGCAAATCAAAGGAGCTATCAAGACCCATCGGTTAGCAATGATACAAATGGGGTTTACCTGTGTTCATTGTGCATATGTGTGTATTTGTGTGGGTGGGTGGGTTGGTGGGTGTGTATGTGCTTACGATCTCTTGCTTGGCCGTTGTACAACAATTGTTCTAACTGTAACCTGGCGACTGGCTAGTCAAGACGACAAAGCAATCGCGAGGTTAGCCCGAAGAGGCTAACTACTGAAGGTTTGAGTCGAAACGGTCGGGTTGACCTAGACCTTTAACCTGGGCTAATCTGTTCAAATCGTACCTCTGAAGGTGAGCACAGCATAAACTGGCCTTCACGTATAAGTCGCTTTCATGACAGACTCCTTATCGCGCTGGCAACTAGTTTCAAATAGACATCATACGCTGTGATTGAACATAATCTATGGTGCTGACCACTCGACGAATATGTGCATATCCTCAGGCCACAGCCTGAAGGAGGGCGATCTCAAAGGCATGGAAATAGGCCAATACGGCCAGCTTCGATTAGACAACTGATACCACCTTCGCCGAGTACAGGCCCTGGTTACCACAACTAACCCATAAGTTAGTACTCCTGGCCATGCTGCATCCACACTCGGCACGTAACAGTCGCCAGCTGCGTCGCCCATCGCTGGGGGAGGGTGGCACGGCCGTCTCCGGCTCCCTCGTCTCGATGGACATCGGAATCTCCTCTGGTCATACCAGCTCATCCTCGGCCTTAGCTTCTCCCGCTGAAGCCCGTCAGAGGGTCGGACTCGCGGCCACTTGGTCCTCCGACTCGGCCCTGTTCGACACCACTCCGGCGAGCTCGGATGTCGCCGCTTCTGAGTCCGGAGGCTGGCAGACTGAGGAGCAGGAAACCGGGCAACCGAATGTTGGCATGTGTGAGGCACGTACAGCAGACGGGTCACAGTGTGGCGATGAAGGTTGCGGCGTCGTTGAAATGTGTCGCAACTCGGCGTCCAAATTTGACGTCAACAGTTACCGACTGTTTCTTTGGCAAGAGAAAGAGCAACAACGTCTTGCCAAACGGCGCACCTCTTCCCTTCTGCCCAACGGCCACCTGAGAAGTCTGAGTGGGCGGCCGAGGCCGCCGATTCGACGGCGAGGCCAATCGCCTCAACGACTGGCGGCGATGGTGAGAGCCGGCTGGTCGCATTCCACGTCGCGTGAACCCTTGCGAAACCATGCAGGCGTGGTCGGCTTGTTGCTAGCCAGGCAGAGAGTGGGACTGCTGTCTGTCGGCCACTCGGGCTCGGCCAAACTTGTGTCAGAGTCTTCGCACAATGTCCTCCACCACTGCTCGTCGTCCTCCGATACCTCCCACTCGGAACTAGCAGCCTCGGGGGTCCCGGTGCCAGACGAAGGTACAGGACCGGACGGAGACCGGAAGTCCTGGCCAAGTTGTGCGTCTTTGTCGGCTCGCTACGGCGACGGCAGTCTCGGTGACCGGCCGATTCTGTTGCGCCAGCACCGAAGTCTATACCGGATCCGCACGATCCGACAACGATGCCGTAGAGACGTCATTCCGAGAGACGAGATGGCTGTGATGACAGACTGCGGTGCTCTAGGCAACCAGGAATTGCGTGGAGATGGGGAGAAGGAGGAGGAGGAGGAGGAGGAGGGGATGAGCGGAGTGGAGAAAAGGGAAAGCGAAGAGATCCAATTGCTCTTGGAGGAGAATGCATCTGCCAAACGCCACATAGAGACTCAGGAGCCAGGCAAACTGGGGGCTGATGGAGGCTACAAAATGGGCCTCTTCAGGATAGTCAGTCATAGAAATTGTCTACGAAAAGACGAAGAGTTCCTTAATGCAATAATCTCTCACTTCAAAGGTGGGTGAAAAAGAGTTCGTTTGAGTAGGCCATAGGAGGGATGATCTGCCATGTGCCGAAGATTGTCATGGAGACACAACTTGATCACGTTTGAATATAGACTTCATTGCTGGGAAGAATTTCATTTCGTAGGAAAGTGCGCGATCGAAAGATTCGAAGGTGATTCTCGTTGTACGGTAGCCGTTCAAGGTTCGCGCAGTCCGCTAGGCATCTTCACTAGTTTTGGATGAAAACGAGCTGATGGGCATCATCAAAGCTGGAACTCATCCTTGTAAAAGTCTCATGTCAACATTAGGTCAAAGAATAAGACTTCCACACGAACGGTGGACGAAAACTTAGCTTGTTTTCACCCGAAACGAGAGAGGATTTCTCGTGGACTGTGCCAACCTGAAGATAGTTTTAAAGCCACCCGCCGGCAGTACAACAGGAATTAGCCGTCGTCTTCTTGTGAGATCGACTTTCGAATCTTCTCTTTATGCAATTGCATGCAAAAGGAAAGTCTCTCCAACTATAGTATCTTAGGAGATGTATTGAAATTCAGTTATTCCTCTTAGCTATAACATTAAACACAACCAACTTGCTACTATGACCTCTGCTAATATTTCTGTCTCCCGCCGCCTAGGATGCATTGGCAGAAAGCAGCGTTATTGAGATCACTAAACTGTTATGCAATGCGTAGAGATGAGTGAAAGAAGAGCTAGCCAACGATATTTAATTCATTTGTCAATTTGACTGTTATTATGAGAAAATCTTGAATAAGAGTCATAGTCAGCCCAAGTGGCATCAGGTGATAAAGGACTGATAATTGTTTTACTTCAAATTGATCATTATTTTGCATGAAAATATTTCAAGTCGGATAGAACTCACTTCAACTAATCACTACATTTTGTGAAACCCTATTCCGATTACAAAGTACCAAAATGAGACTAATTATTTGTTTGTACTCTCTAAGTCTGCTGAATAGCATATTGCGGTTTGTAAATCGAGTTGATACAAAGAGTGGCTATGCTTCGTTTCATTTCGATTTATTTGAAAATTGATGATAAAGAGATTCCTTGATTAGTTTCATCAGAAGACGACGGCCGAGTCCGCTTGTTCTGCAGCCGTTTGGCTCTAATACGACGTTCAGGCGGACACAATTTACCAAACCGGGCTAAGCTTTCGTCCATCATATGATGCGAATAAAATTGGGTTTCAAGGTATTTCTTGTTTCATAATTGTTGAGCTTACTTCCATTTCGAGTGAAAGTGTTGTATGAAGAGATTCAAAGGTCGATTCAACCAGAAAACGACGGCGGATTTCTCTTGACCAGCTGTCGATTGGCATTACTAGATCGAGGTAATCTTCTTCTATTTCGGTGAAAAGGTGCTAAGCTATTGTCCGTCATATGACAAACATCATCAGAGCAGGGTATCATCGTCACAACCAAATTCAAGCTAACGAGTCAAGAAAACTCACGGGCAAATCCCTAAAAAGCGGTATATATACTCTGTCTGGCCTCTTTGATGAGGTATAAAGTGATTTGTTTAGTTACGGTCATATGTCGACTTCAAGGCCTATGAGTGTGTCTGTCTCTGTTTGTTTTCGTGCTTCCGAGACAATCTGCTTCGATTCTGGTGAAAACGTGTGAAGCTTTCGTGCGTCGTATGACGG